GAGCCCGGCAGAGACAGAGTGAGCCATACCCTTTGCGGGCAGCCACCACTAGGTCTTGCTTGAGCAAAATCGTAGCGCACTACGTAGTTCACGTTACGCGACGAAAATGCATATTGAGTGACAACGGCACTCAATTTGCTATCCCGGCATGGAGGAAGAAGTTGGCAGAACAAGGTATAGATGTCAGATTCTCTCCCGTACGACACCCGCTAGCAAATCCTAGCGAACGGTGTATGAGGGAGATCGGAAAGTTTTGCTGCATTTATTGTCATCAAGCTCACAAATCATGGCCTACTTTATTACCGAGGATAGAGGAATGGCTGAACGGGACAACATCAGATTCTACAGGTTACAGTCCTCTTGAACTAATGCACGATTAACCGAGGCCTGACCTTTTAAGAAATTCCTGGTAAATGAGGCAGATCTGCAGCCACCTACCGAGAGCTTACAAGACAAAGTGTTGAAAGCCTATATCAGGATGAAGGCAAAGGCAATGAAACGTAAGGAGAGGCAGGTATCGGGAAGGGCAATCTGGGATCCAAAGATAGGAGATACGGTCCTAGCTAAATGTCAACCGACTTCCAGCGCCGTCGCTGGCATAACCAGTAAGTTCGTTCGACCTCACGACGGGTCGTGGAAAATCTCTAAAATAATTCCTCCAGCCACGTACGAAATTGCGGATCTTAATGGGAAGATTAGAGGTGTGTTCAATAAACAAGCCCTGAAGAAGTACCTCCGAGCTGAGTGACGACTCATGCTCTGTTGGATGGCAATTTACTTAACAAGACTGGATTGTAAACATATTGGATGTGAAGACGGGCTAGATGTAAACACTCGGACGGCATTGTCGTAAAAGTAGGGCATTAAGCGGTAGCTTTAATGAATAAGGCAAGGAGAGCAGGATTTGGGCTATGTACGCGTGTAATATGGTAAGGTAAAAATCTTTTTTTTAGTAGTTGCAAATTTGCTACCGAAAATATCTCCTAACCGCCATTGTCGGACTTCTGATTCGTGGATTCATGTTTCATGCCACTGGGTATAGGGAAAGTCCGTAAGTTGTGAGAGTGGTGTGATATGTGAGTGAATGGTATCCGGTCTTACACCTTTAGTTGATGTCATTGTTGGGTCGACGTAAAAGGTGAAGGGTTTAGTAGCGCCAGGTTAGGCTATTCAGAATCAGCTGTTAAGAGAATGAACAAACAGGTGGTGGGAATAAACCCAAACGTACGTCACACCTACTTATTGTGAAAAGTGGAACAAGTGAGGTGCGTAATGTTGTATTCTAAGTAACATAAACCTGCGTGAGCAAGTGATGCAGAAGGTAGAGTAGCGATACGCTCAGATAAGCGTAGTGCAGGTCCCAATCAGGATCCATTACGTAGAAGACACCTGTGAAAGTGTATTGTAAGGTGTGCATTTAGTAATGGCATAATTGTTAAGTTAGTTAGTGTAGCATGGATATAAATTAAGTGATTGATGAGTGGTTTGTGCGTGGATGTTTATTGTTTTGAGGGTGAATGAGTGAGTTGATTTGACTGTCATTATGTTCTATATGTATTTGAGTAGAATAAGTTAGACAATGTAAAGTTTTTTTGTTGTTGTTCTGTAACGTCCGATTGCAGGCTACTGTTGGAAGGAACAGAAACCGAGATCAGGTGGGAGACTCGGTCAGTTCTGTGACGCTGCGGGTTACTCGATTTTGGGAGAGAGAATTCTCTTTTAACAGTTAGTCTGTATTTGTGTAAGTTGAAACTGTTGAGTGGGGCTATCACTGGAGAAGCCGATGTGCTGTCGGTCACGGGTTACGGACCTCCATTCATCTCAGGGGGAGGTTGTGACAGCCCACTCTGAGTTCGATTCTCGAGCAGGCGGACCGGAGATAGACTTAGACTAGACTTTTGGCGATTACTCCAGTTTATAAGCAAGGAAAGGGGCTTAAGTTAGTTTTGTTTTTCCTTAATCGGAATTTATAATCGAATTGTTTTGAATTTTCCCTATTGAGTAAGCTCTTCCAGATGTGTTTTAGCCGTTAGAAGACTTAGGATAAATCACGTCACTAACCACCAATGGGTTTAAAATGCGCTATCGGCGGCAAATTTGTAAGGTTAAGGGGATGAACCACTCAGCCAATGAGAACACTCTTCAGATTCAAAGTCTTGGGGGAGTCTTGCGGTGTGCGTCCAGCAAGGGGCTCCCAAAAATCACTTACGCAGCAGTCTCGACCGCGGGTAGTCCTGCACTCGGCGAGAAGGAAAGAATAAAAGTGAACTAATACAGAATTATCGGACTACATCCCCTCGAATCCCGCCACCTCGCACCTTGCTCCTGGAACCCTTCATAGCCACCACGTATATTCCCTGAAGGCGAAAGTCCATGCCCCTGAGCTACCAAAACGAAACCCAACAGAAAACCCCTTGTAACCAGCCGGGCGTCCTGATGGAAAGTTTGGAGTGAAAGGACGGTTACAGTAGCAATGTGTGAAAGGAAATTAATAATATTAATGTTAATGTTCCACCATAAATCATATATAAATCAATTTTCAAATGGAAAGTTTCAGTAGCCACTAACAAATTTCAAAAGCAAGTTTCAATTTAACATGTGTTATTCTGTGAAGTACAGCAAACTGGCAAGCATGATGGACTGTGAACGAACCTTCAGCAGCTAAGATGCGTAACTATGTGGACTTTAGAAATACGCATAAGGAAACATATTTTGATGTACAGGTGTAAAAACAAGTATTACAAACAAAGCTACAAGTAATATTTTACTCCAATATTTTCTGACAGACATTAGTACAATATTAAAACTATTTTAACTTATTTGCAAAGCTGCTATAATGACTATGTATCTTTACTCTAATTTACAACAGAAATAAGTTTTACTATAAAATACATAAATACAACAACACTTAACTGGTTTGACAATTGAAATGAACATTTTGTGGATATTTATTTTGCAATGGATAAAATATTTTTGAAGTGGTGTTTTCTTATTGACTAAATACACAAATACAAGCTACCACTTGTTTCAGATGATACAGCATATAAAATCACACATCCTTCTGCACGCTTGTTATATCAAGTGCCAGATGGCTGGGAAGCACACACAATCATCTCACCCAATACCACTTCAACTTAAAGTGAAACTTCAAAATAGATAATTATTACACAACTTCTGTTACCATAAACCAACATCTCATAAATAAACACGCTGAGAATTTGAAAGAATTAATTGGAAACTTTAAACTGCAGTTCAGCAGAGAACACACAAAGAGAATAACTGGACAGAGTTCATTGATTTCATATACACACGATTTTTTTATACAGAATTTGATAAATGTCAATTTTTATGATGTTACTGACGATACTTAAATACTCATTACCTGCTGTATATTACAGTCTAAGGGCAGAATAAATTAATTTCAGTAAATATTCTTTTTTATACTAACAACACTCAGCATATTCTGCTTTTAAATGCTACCGAGTATTGCATTTATAAAACAATTTAAAGGCAATTATGAAAGCAGATGACATTTAAACGAAAACCTAACTGATACCTTCGGATTTACTCTCTCACTGCATGACTTGAACTCACCAGTCTGCAGTAAAAACAAAAGATGCTTAGTTTATTTTCATTTTTACCAAATGAAACTGAACATGTTGCAGAACTATGGTCAAATTCTTCAGTATTTAAGGGAAAGTAAAATTAAAGCAGTCAATATGAAACAAAATGATTTTGGGGCGGGGAAATTTCAGTTGGGAGTCACAGAATGCAGAGAACTTAAAAACTTCATGTACTATACCAATTCCAACTTTGAAATACACATTTGAAGGAGCAAACAGGTGATAATAATCACTTTTAAACTCAGTAACTTTATCAGTATTCTTAATTTCTGTGGCTTGGTTTTTAAGTTTCTTTGTATGTTCTGCCCTAAACTTCCGATATCCCTTGTCCAGTTAATACAAACTGACGTGTAATAACTGAAGACAGTGCCGTTACATAATTACAATAATAAGGATTTCAAACGCTAATCATGGTGGCGTTTGGATAAAAATTATAATGATAATACTAAGGCTCTCCATCTTCAAGTCCAACAACTTCCGCAGACCATGAACGCATTTGGATGTGCTCAACGTATTTTGATTACTGGCAATACTTGTTCTTAATTTATACATAAGGTCACAGCTATCATTCTTCTTTTCTTGATGGACGTTTCTTGGGAGAACTAGGTACATCTCCTGCAACTTCAGGCACTGCTTCCTGCAATCAGATCAGGCATATTAAATGGTTGAGGAAAAATCAATGTACCTGTAACACTGATGATGTAATTCACACATGGTGGCAAATATACTTATTTGTTTCAGCGTAAGCTATTGTGTTTCATTCCATCCAGTTTACACCCCCACCCCCACTGCTTCCAAATAAATAAAATGAAATATATATCAGTTTCAAGTTATACAACTTCTGCCTAAAAATTCTGTGACCAACAAGCAGACATTTTATGACTAAATGAGATAAGTACACTACGTGAGGTTGTGGTTCTCATAGCGGTGAAAACATTAATGTTGGTCTTCCAGCATGTAATGCCATGACTTGTAAGCAGATATCAATATTCTGGAGAAACATAAGCTTAAGACCTGAAGATAAAAATGGGGTGTTTCTCTGATATGTTGGTATCTACCTACAAGCCCACAATGTTTTACAATTCGAAACACCAACAATGAAGAGATAAGCTCATTTTCCAAAGCATCCATCCAGGTTTCCGTTGAAATGTATATTAATAAATCAATAGGCAAAACTTCCCCACACATCTTGAGTACTGAAAACAGTTTGTGCACAATCTGCAGTGTTGCATTTTAATCTGTTTTCCTGGACATAATAATGCTAATTCACCTCTGCCTTAGGAGTTTCAGTATCCAACTCTCCTCCGCTTGCTTCTGCCGCCGCCTCCTCCTCCTCTTCTTCCTCCTGCACCTCTAATTGACTCTTAGATTTGGTTGCCTTTGCTGGTGCTTGTTCGTCAACATCATCTGGAGATACAGCATCTGTCTTCTTCGCTTCTGCTACACGCCTCTGTTCTTCTCTTTCCTGTGAAATGCATACTTTTCCAAACAATCCGATGCTTAAGTACATACTGTTGGGGCAGATTTTGTAACTCTTACCTCAATCACAATGTAAGGCAACAACATGCTGCCAGTCACAACGGAAAATGACGGCTTGAACATTTCAGTATTACAAAATCAGACAAATACAACAAATTTAAATGTGAACAAGTCCACAAATGAGGTTTTAAATAACACCTGCAGAGTAAACTGGCATCAACTCCTTTATTCAAACGAATTTCTCTCAGGAAACAAAAGTCATAGTGGAATTTGGAAGTGTTATCTGAGACACTATATGGCATGTGCACATAGAAAAAAGCAGTGTAACATTCCCATAAATCGCAGGTAAACAAAACTGACACAAAACATAAGAATACTGGGGAGAGGGGAACTCTTGATCATTTGACTGAGTTCTGAATTTTCACATGATTTCTAATAACGCAGGTTCATTCCTTTCAAGTGGGATATGGCAACACTGGAATGTTCTTTACAATAAATTACTTTAATTCACCAGTACTTTATACTTTACAATTATAATCATCACATGGAAATGCTATAAAGAAATAAAACTTAATTTATATACTTCCAAAGATATACGCAGATCAACATATACAGGCCTGCACAATTTCCAGCACCAGGTTGCCACGACACCTATAATTTTCATGAAAGTGCCCAGAATTTTCTGAATTTTATTTGTTCCACAGTAATTGAATAACGTACGTAAGTTATTCAATATTTATAATCATCCACTGCACCCGCATATGTGGTACGTAGCTAGTGCACAGAACTGGTCCGTGGAAACACACCCCTTCGGCTATTAACAGTTGTAATAACAGGGAATGTTTGTTAATTTTACTTCCGAGAGACCCAGACGGCTCCAGCATGGACGGTTTGTTCTTTTGTGGTTGGGGGGGGGGGGGGGGGGGGGTTGAGTAAGACACTAAATTATTGTCTTATTCAAGTGATAGTCCTGTATCTTTGCACATTGTTGTGCGATATTAACCCGTTCTCACCGCATACTTCTGATTTCATCGCAAAGGTTGCGGCTTCATCGCTGACAAATAAATAAATGCAGAGTAATGTTATTTCCATCTGATATAATCTGGTTCATAGTTTCTAGTAGAGGCTCCAAAATTTATAGGAAATTTATACAGGCCTGAACATATAAATTGGATGATAACATAATATAACAGTCTGAAAATGGAAAATAAATACTAGGTCCCCTAAAACAAAACTACCTACACAAACAGAGAAATGGCCCTTATTCTACTTCTACGCAAAGGTTTCGATAAATCGTACCGTTTACAAGGGAAAACTTCTACTGCATACATGAATAGGTAATCTGCATAATTTAATCTTCAGGTGTTCTGGTGCTTACCTGATTAGAGGAACCACAGCAGAAGACTAAAACAAGCACTATGGGTAGACCAATCACTATTACATACACGGCCCATAACCACGGGTGCTCATTTGTGTATGTCACTAGTCGACTAAACAGACTCTCCTGTAAGGGGATGACATAGCAAAGTATTGTAGTTCACATGATCACTAAACTAAAATACAGGTGCACATCTAGATTCACTTCAGTGAAAATTACATTAAGCAAATACTGTATATGGAACTACCACATTACTTATGTTATAATTCACTATTTTCTAGAAGTGCAATAGCATATTATGGATTAATATCACACATTTCTTAATGACAAACAAACGAAAATAAAAACAAGAAGAGTTTTATCATATGGAAGCAAATATTTTAAGATTTCAGGCCTGTCATTAAAACCATGTTTGCTCAAATATGTCTCAAGATAATTAGGAACTTAAGAAATCAAACTTCTTTCATTACCCCTTTCTTCATGCTGATGACTTATGCACAGTTTGTCATAATTAGAACAGGAATTTTGATCTTAGCATGTCAATAAGTTGACTTAATACTTTCATATTACATAGTTTTATTCAGGCACTGTTTCTCTATATATGTACATTTACCCCACCCCTGCAGGATAGAATTTTTATGGCAAATTTGTGGCCAATGGAGACATTGGGAAACAATGAAAAACCTGATTCACATTTCAATCAGCTTTATACACCAAAAACAGATTACCATGAAGGAGTATCTCTGTACCTTCTGCATTGTACTTCTCACCATTTCCTTCATCATTCTCTATTATTACCAACATTACTTGTTCTACATAACCTAAGTAATTACAGCATATTTAAACACCCAAACATTCAATAATAATGGCTACATTTAATTTTCCAGGGCACACAAGTTTTACTGCCATCTAGCAATTACTGCGTAAATTAAGAGCAAATAACAATACACTGCACAGCTTCCGGTTACCTCTGCAACCCTCTTCCATAGGTAGCATACGTATATTCCGATCGGAATGGCACAGTATACAAAGTACAATGCCCACCAACCAGGTCTATAGTTGAGGATTTTCATCATCTTACCCCAAAATGTTGCCTGATAAGAACAAACACCACCAAAACTTTTCCATGAGAAAAACAAAGATGAGAGCTCATACATTACCAACCACAAGATTACCCTTTTCCATAAGCAAACTTTAAAGGTTTCTGATGACGGTGCAACATAACATGTATAATTATTCTGTTGAACATCATCCATTAACTATGAGTTTTTAAATTAAAATCACTTGCACGATGGACGAGTCCCACTAAATAATTATACAATAGCCTCCTACACACATACAGTAACTAAATATAAATGGCATTAAACTAATGTCATTATTCAACAAGTGAGGTCCCAGTACAATATATCATGTTTTCATTTACGCAGCATCAAATTAGATACAAAAAAGTAAGTATGTTAAGAAATAAATTCATAGCATAATTCCAGAAAATTCACTCATAATTGCCTCTAAGTTTCAAACTCATAAATGTTAACATTTCAAACTGTGTGGGTATCCCTCGTTAAACACGATCTCACTTTACGTGATTGCCCTACAGCGTGATTTCATAACTTCAATAAATATTGTTATGTTCTTGTGCGATCACCTGATATGCATGCACATAGTTCCTTAGGCGCAATCAGTCAACCAATAACTTAAAAGTTAAAAGTGACTGCCATGAACAAACATAAAAGCAGTGACAACAGTGCTAGCAATGGCATCAAACACAGAAGATTTATTACCCTTCAGGAAAAATAAGCAGGTACAAACATAACAAATGCACAGTTAACATAGCCAATGGCATGGGAATCGGTGAATCGACTTTAAAAACCATAACAAAATCAGTTGATAAAATTAAGGAAAGCCTTGAAAGTGTGATGAGAATGAAGGCTAGTAAGATCCCACAAATTAGGGTGCCAATTATGGATAAACTGGAAAGGATGCTGCCTCAGTGGCCTGAGCATCAACACCAATGTACCATCCCTCTATCCTCCGTAATCATTCAGGCTAAAGCAAAATGTCTGTTCGGAACCTGAATGCTATAGAAGCAGATCCGAAAAGGTGATCCTTTGCTGCTGATGAGTGGTTTCAATATTTTAAAGGGTGCAATTAATTCCACAACCTCAAGCTAACAGGCAAAGCTCCAGCAGCTGAGTTAGCTGCTGCTGAGAAATATCCAGTCCTCCTCCAAGTGATGATTGAAAGGCATAGATATTTGCGCCAACCAGAGGTCAATCTGGAAGAGACTGGGTTGTTCTGGAATCAGATGCTAAGTAAAATGGTCGTCTCAGTGCAAGAGAAGGTGGCCCCAGGATTTAAAGCTTCTGACGATCTTTACGCACTATTGTGGAGATGCATCTGAAGAGAACCCTTGAGCACTCAAGGGTGAGCCTAAAGAAGTTTTGCGTGTTGTATGGCAATCTAATAAGAATGTTTGGGTTACAGAAAGCTTCTTTGAATTAAAGGGCTTACTGTGAGAAAGTGAATGTAATGTTCCTCCTTCCAAACACCACGTCCCTTATTCAAATAACGGATCAGGGTGTTGCTGTCACTTTTAAGAGTTATTATGTTTGGAAGATGTTCATCCATCTAGTATTTTCCGTCACAAGAATCAACTAAATGGAACATTTTCAGAAAAGCATTGCAAGAAACCCAAGGAACGCCTGGAGGAACCATTCAAAGTCATCCTAGCCATTTCCATACTTTTATTGTACTGTGTTCGTTGTTTGGGAATATGAAATTTAATCCAAATCCATTCTGCAGTTCAAGTTGTTACAGACGGACACAGCAAAGTTAAAGTGTGCACTTTTGGAAATTCATTACAACTATTCCTAAAAAGTCAACTCATTCAAAGACAAAGATGTAATAAGAACTGCAGACTTTCTAACAAACAGCCAATAAATGATGTACAAAAAATACAACTATTTCTGCATTCTGGCAATATTATTTTCTCCTGCTTTTTCATAAAAATCTCAGTTTAAACATAAATGATAAATTTTAATTATTTACATTAATAACCAAGCGTTTTAAGCAAAACCAGTACTCACTCCATCTTTGTCAAGCTTCCTGCGCTTGAGGTCAAAGGTCTCTGAAGCCCAGGTTTCAGCCACAGTTTGATCATCAGTTATAATAATATTATCGAATAAAATCAAGTTTGATATAGACCATAATTCTAGCCCAACTGCAGCCTGAAACATGACAAGAAAGTATGAAAATTACATTGTAAGTCAAGAAAAAATTATGTCTTGAACTCAAGTTTTATTCAGCGGCAACAAGATTATCTTTGAAGTGTATAACATCACACTCTTTTCAACTGTTTTCCACAAATATTCTGCTGTTCCTTGATCTTATAGTAGGTCCTAGCTGTACTTGTTAACTTACAGACAGAAATCATACCTTCTACCAGTGTTTTTGTATGACTTTTTTGGTGTTCATAGACCTATATATATTTTCTACCTTGTCGTAGTTTAGAGCCATTGCGTTAAAGATCGTGTAGACTTCATCCTGATAGAAACAAAAACTTATGTTGAGGCATCATATACTTACAATATCTGTCATTCTGAAAGGATCTTTGTCTTCAAAGAAGTCTGGGTTGGGAATCCTCCGGGGATTCCATCTACCTTTATAATTTGGGTTATCAATAAGGGGTGCACGCCATTTTCCCTTATAGTCTGGATTGTTTATTTGTGGAGGTTCCCATGGACCACAGCCTGCATCACTCTCACAGATGGGATTAGGAATGAGTGGTGCCTCCCAGTCCCCATCCATATCAGAATCCCTGTTAAAAAAGAAAACGGAATTCTGTGTTACGCACGTGCACCGTTCTGATTACATTATTCCAACAATTCACAACCTACTGTTTATTACAGTCATTCATGCAATGCACATCCATTACACCTCTCACACATTTCAGGCTTACATCAGTAAAAATACACATGATTTTCCATTGTAACAAAGATGGGCAAAATGTCCACTTGAATCCAATATCACAAGGCAGTCAAATGACTAGCCTTGTAGCTCAACACACTGAGCACTAGCCAAGTGAAAGACTGCACCCCTAGCATCACGTATGTTCAGCCAAGAGATGAACTACAAAATGTCAGTGCCCAAACACAAAATAAGCCCAAGTACAGACCAGTGTTTTTATATACAACACAAAGATAAACATCTAAACTAGAGTTTTATTACAATTGGTAAGAAAAACATTTCCAGAAAGGTGTGCGCCGTGTATTTAAATTTGTATACAAATTTGTTTATTTCATGAATCGCCTATCAACATTTTTTAAAACAGAACTACGGCAATGCACTTTCTTTCAAATACTTTTTACTAGAATGTTTTAGCTGTAACAGTCCAAACATGTCCGCCCACCCAGTACTATCAATACAAGTTAAAACTTTTTTTTTTTGCTGTTGTCAGGCCCTGTGAGCTGGGCTTTAAATCTCCTTCTTCCCCAAATGATTAAAATGATCTACAGGGTTTTAGATAGGAAATGGGAGGATACAACATTCTATTCTAAATGGTAACAAGTACTTCCCAACTTTTAATGGCTCTTAACCCCATAATAAACACATTTTCATTTCCTACTGTTGGTCTGAAAAGACTATAAAAGTTTTAAAAGCAAACACAGTACAATAAAAGTGAAATTTGAAAGAGAATTTATACTTCTCAATAAATTTATTTGCATTTTCTTACCATGTTCTTTTTTGCATAGTTAAAAGTATGGAAATGGCTAGGATGACTGTTTTATATAATTCAGAACTATTCAAGAGTGCACCTTCAATGCAGCTTTGAATTTGAATGCTAAAACACAGACTTGAACTTGCTGCAAAAGAACTGACCAGTCATCAGGCTTCTCTGCATTTGGATCTGGAATCATTTGAGGCTCATCTTCCAGCCAGGAAACTGGTTTGGTCGCTGCAGGATCAGGTATCATAGCTGGAGCATCCTCATCCCAATCGTCAGGTTTGCGTGCCTCTGGGTCAGAAATCTTCTCGCGTTCATCCCAATCTGAAGGCTTCGTGTCATCAGGATCACCAATTTCAGGGGGTGGATTCACAGGAGGAGTGAAATCATCAAGTAAACTACCCTCGTTGACTATTTTGTGATCAAGTTTCACTGTAAATGTATTGTCAGGTCGAACAACTAATGTATACAAGTGTGGAAGCTTATCTTTGAATGGTTCCTCCAGGCGTTCCTTGGGTTTCTTGCAATGCTTCTCTGAAAACGTTCCATTCAGTGGATTCTTGTGACGGAAAATAAAGTGAAGCTGAAGAGACAAAGAAGTTAATCAAAAATCAGTTCAATAAGACTATCAATAATCAGGTTAAAAATCTATGATTCCTCCTAAAAGAATTAAGTAACTCAATAACCCATAATTTTAGTACGATATTATCAAAGACATGCTACAATACATTTTGGCCGGATGTTGCAGCTCAATGGTGTAACATGCCTGCTTCATATTAGGGAGGTTCCAATTCTCAGCCAAGAGACTAGCTATCCAGACCAAAGTTTTCATGTATTTCCTCAGTTCCCCCAAGCAAATGCTAGACCAAGACCATTTCCTTCCATAGCCTTTCTTGTTTCCTTATTCATTAATCATCCTATCACTCAACGCTACATAGTGTGAGCTACTGACTACAGTGTCAATAAATAAATTACAAATAAATATCAGCTCCTCAGACACCATGTTTACATGGCAAACTTACTTTATGATCATTGCCACATTTATCTGGCCCAAACATAATGGTGTATGGTGTTTTGTTATTAAAGTGGCGAAGGTCAGCTGTATGTTTGCCATGTGAGAGTAGTTTGAGATAGGCACCACCACATTCTTGTCCCTCTTGCAATGTTACTTCATATTGTACTATCAATGGTTTTACTGTGAACTTGAAAGGACGATCCAGGTGAGCCGATATTGCGGCATGCTTTGCTTTAGATTTTAAAACCAGTCCAAGATCTCCAGTCAGGCCATTCTTCTGTGGAACCTCAACTTCCCATTTCCCTGCAATATCATACATAGTCTTAACAAATATAATGTCAACAGTGACTGTGCTAACAAAGTGACAATATTATTAGAGTGTGTCATCAATATAGATCAATTCTGATCACAACAACAGGGATTATGTAGCACACAAAGTATTATATTAAAGATATGAATTCACTTTAATTATTCCTGTCCCCAGGTTTTCATGGCTAGTGTTTAATCAAGCATTGAGTATGTTCTGTTTGTGCAAACACAGCAGTTGCCAAAATGCTGGAATAACTTCAACACTTGTCACAGTTCATTCCCAAAAGCCGAAGTTATGTACTTTAATGTTGTTAGAGAAAGGTCTGTCCTTGAACAAATTAAACAGGAAAATTTTCATACTGACCATCATATTTGGCAATATCATCATCTACATCATGTTTCTTAGCCTCTGATAGAATCCACTTCTTGCTGAATTGATTAATGTCATCAAAATGTTCTGCAAAGTAAACATTGCCTGATGGTATAGGACTTCTATAAATGATGTCTTCTTCAACTGGGTCCTCCTGAAAGAAGTAGGGATTTAGTTCTAAATGCTAAGAATATTTCCTACTGTTATTTATACTGAAAATTTTCACACAAGAAACCAAATTTCCTGACTGCATATAAGAAGGGACAACATTCTAGGCTAACCACCTTCAGGGTATAAAAATGTACTGTAATGCTCATACTGAAGGAAGTTTCTTGCTTGGCAAAGTTAGGCAAACAGTTGATTTCTTGGAGGTTAGCTGTAAGTAGGATATTAGTGCACATCTCAGGATTTCTCATTACCATCATTAATGATATGTGCACTAAACCAAATGAATTTAACTCACTCTTGTGCAGTATATTAACTGAACAAAACAATGTTAACCACACGGTAAAATACACTAGTAATGGATCTTCCCAACTCACACTACTTCCAATCAGAAACAACACTAAACTGGAAACAACTACATCTCTCAATGTACTTTAAAACATATCTACTAGATAGCAGGACCTCTCTCCCCAAAGATAAAGTGGTAGAAGCATGAAGCTCTTCACTCACGTCCGACTAGTACTGAAGTTAAAAATCTACACAGCTATATATCCACATCCTCACAGATCTTAATGCCATAGCAATTAAGTACAACATGCATAAGTTAGAGGAAAACCTATTCAAAAAAAGTGACACATTTTAATTTGTTTGCAAAATGACAATTCTGTATATACGGAGAAACGAAGAAATACGAAATAAGAATAACAATCTATTTTCTTTCAGACATTTCTCTCTCTATTCCCACTGGATTAATTATATCTGTATCTTACTCTGTTGAAATTATTTCCATTTCTATAAGTGCAATTTTACCTGCTTCCTTTAATCTATTTGTTTAAATAAATTTTTGCCAAACTATGATTTATTCTGCTGCAATTTATAACATCCGAAGACTATGACTGAAATATTTATTTCCCCTCAAATAATTTCCCAACCGTAACTAACTACAATTATGTGCCATATAAGTAACTGACAAAATGCAGATTATATATTCTGAAAGAATCCTTTTTTACTCAATTTGTGCATGCATATTAAGACAATGTTACATCACTGACCTAGTTTTATCATGTTTTACTGTGAACAATTTGTACCCTCTTAACTGCTGAACTAATACTTTTATGCATAAAAACGACTTACCCTATGTGATTATTGTCTGTCTCTTTCCCACACAGAAATTAAAAAATATAAATAGTAAAATGCTATCCTTGTCCCATTCATTCTTCCACTTTCGTTAAGTTATTCTCTTTCTACTGGTTTCAATGAACCTGCTCTGCAGAGACTCCCAACATTCCAGCTTCTAAATCATATGCCCTCTTCACGTTGTTTAGGCCATGTCAAATAGTGGCCAAGTCCAAAGCACTGTATAATATTTCAGAATATGTTTTATGATCAGATGTTGCTAGCACCACAACCTAACCCCACTAGCAAGATGACCACTCCTTATAGGCTATCTGCAACTCCTTACCCAATACATTTATAGCTATCCTCCCCTAATTATTTTGAGTTGTAAAAAAAAGAAACCTTCAATGCTCACTTCTTCAGTTGCTACTACAGCAGCATCATCATCATCTTCATTCTCTGACTGACTCACAGCAGCTAAACTCAGAAAAACGACACCTACAATAAAGCAGCTGAGAAGCCTCTTATTCATTATTTTAAAATTTGGTTTTATTTGACCTGAAACCACATGAAATATAAAAACTGTAATTATTCCAGTAATATCAACTCCATTCTTAAATTTATCATATTGCTAAATAAAGTGCAGTAGATTGTAGCAAATTTTAATTAAATATCTCTAATACACCAGCAGAACATAAAAATTGGTGTGCACATATTATCACCATACACAATACTCCAGTAACATTTCATTGATTAGTAAAGTGACTAGGGTGTACAATAATCCCATTACTGTAACCTGTGATTATATGAAATGTATCGCTGCTCCACGTAAAGCAGATCACTTTTATTTACCACACAATCTATGGGAATCACAATCGTCGTATATAAAGAATTAAGTATTTCTACAACACTTTTAAGTGACCCAACATAGATTTAATAAAACACAAAACTCAGAACTTCCTGATTATTCCGGACTTCAGAGGTTTCCCCTCCCGGTTTTCTTTTCCAGCGAACCAATCAGGAACAAACAGATGGCCATTTAACTGTTGCCAACACGTTCAAATTTTAAAAAGCGTATAAGATAATGTCTCCAACAAGGCATTATAAGGAGTTCAGTAAACTACATAACTGGAATTTCCCTGAAAAATAATACATTCACATTACAATTTAATAATATATTCTTGTTCAATAATAACAATAATAATAATAATACCCTGCAGTTGGCAACACTGCATTACCATTCTAGGCTGTCTAAAATGGAATATTATGTTTTAAAACATAGTAACACAACACAGTTGCTTAATTTTTAATGGATAATAAGTATTGTTCATCTTCATTCACCTAATATAACCGGAATTGTATATTTTACTTTTGCATCCAATCATTACGTCACATAACAAAACACCTACAGTATGCGATGCAGCGATGGAGACGTGTACAGTAGTTCATAAATGCTGTAAATAATTTGCCAAGTACAATTTATGGGACCATAGCATTTGTTTGTTTATTTTTACATTTTTAGTTCGTTTTATTTTAAAACATTGAAATATGTCTGTAGAAACGGACATTAATGTGTTCACATTGAATTGTTGGTAGGTGCACGTTTAATATGTTTGAATTTTGACAGGTAACAACTTAAAACCCAATGGGGTACCAACCAAAAAATTGTAATTTTCCTTAATTTTGAAGTATGGAACGGTGTGAATGTGCCTGCCACAACTAAATGTTTCATTTATCCTCTTCCCACCAAAACGTTTTACATACATATAATTTTTTCATGCATGTAAACAAATTTTTTATAAAAATAGCAATGTGAGGAAGCAGTTACTATTCAGCATATTTAAAATGACAGGATTCCGTTATTCCTAACCTAGAATACCAATTTTATATCACATCTCGGGTTTTTAACAGTATGAGGATTGTGCCTTTTCATATCTGTGATCATACTTGTACACGAGATCTCATTCACAGTTTCTAATTTACACTTTTTTCCAGCTTGCTTTGCAAGTTGTAAACCAATGGAAGCAGATATGAATTGCTGCTCGGTACTTTTTGGGACTGTGGGTATTAAGGGTCATGGACAAAACTGCATTTGATTAAACTTTCTTCTAACTGTTTGTTCCTGTTAAACAGGGGTATCCCAGGAATATCCAAAAACAGGAAGACAAGAATGAATGCAATAGCTAAAGAGCTGTCTTTGGGAAAATATGACATTGTATGCCTGCAAGAAGTGTGGTCTGATAATGATTACATTCATATCAAGAAATTAGCACATAGAGTATTACCTTATTCCCATTATTTTTACAGGTATTAACAAAACAACAATAACAATTATATGTATGTTGACTGGATAATGTAATGCAACATTAGTATAACTTAATCATTAGAACTGCCAAGAGAAACATATGAAACAGTTTGAGAGGACTTGACATACTTTCTGTATTGTGCACTCATCATATTCCTTATCAATGATTTTTTATACATCAGCATAATGCAAATCTTGGGGTAAAATTTTGAAAAGGCATTTCTGAAGGTTTGAAAACTATTCTAGTTTCAGTATCTGTTCTAAGTTTTAACTTATTTTTGCTGAATAATGTTCTTCCATATGAGAGATGTAAAGTATATATATTAAAGATTAATTAAAATCTAAGATTGTTGATTGCATAGCTGGAAGATTTGTTGTGGAATGATTAACTCATTCCTCTATGACCATCAATTTTGGAAATCTGTATCAATTTAATAACTTTAGTTTTAAATTACAGTGGTGTGTTTGGTTCTGGAGTGTGTATATTTTCACGATACGTAATTGAAAACGTGTTTTTCCACCAGTGGCCAGTGAATGGCTATATTCATAAGTTTCATCATGGTGACTGGTTTGGTGGCAAGGGAATTGGTCTGTGTAGAGTTATATGCAAAGGCATCAGTATAAATATATATTCAGCCCATGTAAGTATCTCTTTAATTATTTTCTTGAAGCACTTTCAAAATGAGTCATGGTTTCAGTTTTCTAATCTTTCCATCGTTCTCATGGAAAGTCTTACTTGAACAACCCAGGCCTCTTCTCTCTTGTTATATGTTAACATTCATAAATTATTCTGTTGTTCCAATCCCCGAATATGATATGCTCTTGTTCTTTTGTTAATACTCGCCCTTTTCATTACCTTTCTACGACTATTTAGGTTTCCCATTACAGGCATTGTATTTCCCTCACCCCAGATGTTGGGGGAAGGGGGGGGGGAGGATGACATATCTCAGTCTGAAGCATTATACTCCACAATTCATTTTGGTTTACTCCACTGAAAGTTTCTCATGATTAAATTCAGTTCATTCTTCTTAGTAACAGGCAATGATACAAGCTGTACAGGACAACTGTTATATAAAACCTTATATCTTTCAGTTACATGCTGAATATAATCACAGGAATGATGAATACATGGCACACAGAGTTTTGCAAGCATTTGACATGTCACAGTTCATCTATATTACATCAGCTAATGCTGACATAGTAATCTTGGGTGGAGATCTCAACACTGAACCAGGGGATTTATCATACAAGATAATCTGTCACAATGCTCAATTACAAGACAGCTTCTTTCAAGCACAGCAAGTAGGTATCACAAGCATAACTGAAAGCACACTGTTAAAGATTCATACTTTCAAAACATACTGTATTTTCACATTACCGTAGCTAGAAGTTTTTAACGTATTTAAAGGAAAGAAACCTGGCAGAGTTTTTCTATGTACACAGCAAGAAGTGTGCAAAAACATAAAATATTTCAGCTTACAGTCCACGTCTCCAGTTAGGCACTGACAGCAGTTGAATATTACAAGTTTTTTTCCCTAGAAAAAGGGTTGGAGGAGGCATTAACACAAGATTTAATATTTATTTTAAAGTCCTTCTTAGTAAGCCTCTAGGTTTCTCCGTCTACATATCTGATAACAGATTTCTTTATGAAAATACGTACTTGTGTTCACTATATTTTATGATTGCTGAGAATGTGATGAAATATATAGCATTTTATCATCAAAGTCTCCACAGTCAACTCTAAATAGTGCTTTAATTTTCTGTCTAATTTTATTTCCATTTTAAATATTTTCACATCATCAGTTTATTATCTATGCATGAATGAGTTAACTGGTAATTTTTACTTGATTTTGTCTGTTAATTTGTTCCGTAGGTGTCAGCTAATTGTGTAGGAACCAATGAATCGGTTCGAAATAGCTATACCTACAAGAGATTGTGCGTGGAGAAGCCTGCAGGCAGTCGGATAGATTATGTCATGTATAAGTCTAGGCCGGGCATTGTGGTAAATATATGTTTACTAACTGGAATTGAAAGACACTTTTATGTACCCTGCACAAGGTTATATAGATATGTTTCCCCCCTCCCTGTTTATAGGTGCAGTGTCTGCAATATCAGTTTCCCCTGCCTGAGCAAGTTCCCGAACAAAATTTCAGCTATTCAGACCATGAAGCATTGCAGGTGTCCTTGAGGATAGTCAAAACATCCAATGGTAATTACTTTATTTTCAATACATTATTTGTGGAGTCATGTTGGGTTTTAATTTTATTATTTTGTGCTTATTTTAGAATCAATAAATGATACATAAAAAGTATGGCAAGGTAATGGAGCAGAGGCGAAACTTGCTCTCTCTCTCTGGAGAACCACACTGAAAAACTGAGGTGGAGAAACAGAATGTGAAGGATTGTAAAACTGTTATTCAGTTTCTGTCTTTCAAACCAAATAATTCTCTTCATTCATGCATTTTCTTCAAAATGTTAGGAGTCACTATATTACTTAGGGGACTTCCCTGATTTGGGTTTTGTGATTTTTGCAGGCACAGTGAAATGTTCAAAGTCTAAAAACAAAGTACAAATTTGAGTCAAAACATTTTGATGTCTAGAAGCGTGTTAGAGGTTAAACTTCACATTTTATGCTGAATTTCTATTTCAAGTGTTCGAAGATGCAACAGTAAATAAAACGGAATACGTCGAAGCTCTGAAGGAGTGTGGTGCTGTGTGTGATGCAGCACTAACAAGGCTGAACCAAGATAAACGGTCCTATTGGATATACTCTGCTGCTCTGTTCCTCACACTGTTGTGTACAACTGGTTCAGAAGCCCCTTTCAGCTGTTTCAAGACATACGACATAATACGTATTATCGTTACCGTTCTGCTCTGCTTTACTATATTCATGGCCTCTATATGGAATCGTATGGAAGTAAATGCAATTCTTGCAGGAAAATTGGGAATAGAGGTTGTTCATTCAAATTTGGTAGATGGTAATTTGAGTAAGAGAGAGAATAGCTACTCATGATATGTATAACTTGACCATCTGTTTTAATTTGTTAATTGTGTAAATGACTTACTCTTTCTTGACATTCCAAAGGTCATGATTCATGAATAAGTATCCTCTTCATAAGGCATTTTCACCTTAATGTCTATGTCTGTAAACCACTAACTATGTATTGTCAAAATCTAGATTGAAATGGAATTCCAAATTTTGTTCTGCTCACTTGCAGGTAAGCATTCATAACAAAAAAGTATTTTTCCTACCTAAAACAGTACTTACATGACTGGCAGCTGGGAGGGCGAAAGGAGGAGACCCAGCACGAGACCTGGATACATAGTTTTGCCACACTGAAACTTCTTTGCCCTTCCATCTGTAGCATTACATGATGTAGACATTATGGTCACTCCATGAATGCAGTGATGCAACTCAAGAGCTTGACAGCCAAATCTGCATGTGAATGAGAAATGTGCCATTTTGCATACTTGGTTTCCTTTGTGGTATTACAGGACATCATAAAACAAGTAATTACATGTATTAATAGTAACCTGGAAATTTGAACACAAAATGTGTGCTTCTAAAAATTGGTTGTTGAAATGACAAATTCAGGACTCTTATTACAAATACCTTTCAGGCAAAGCCTGTGAATACATGTATTATGATGTTGCAAAATTGACTTGCATGCTTGCACAGTATCTTACTTATTCTTTCCTGGTAATCTGTATGGAAATTATGGAAACAAGTTCAGACAGATGTAAGCATTGAAATACACAATTAGAACTGACACTGAATGACATGGGGACTAGTTAGTTAGGGCTGTAATTGACTCCAAAGAGTTTGATGATGGTGTATGGTAGTGAGCACGACTAATATTTTGGACTTGTCCATCATTTGAAGTTCTTCAAAAAGAAGTTTTGAAAACCAGATCTGTTAACATCACTAGGTGAAAATGTGGAGAAAGAGGATTCCTAATTTCAGTCCCTGGGTCCAGTTTTCAAAATGATTTAGGACTTGAGGTTTTCACAGTGGTTAATTCGAAGATGGCTGTCTTTTGGGTTGTAGCACTATGCAGTCTGGTAGAAGCCTCCCGATGTTTCAGAGGTCCTTGTCGTCTCCATCGCTCCTTGTCCTAATGAGAGGCAGTAAGGACCTCTCAAAAGTTGGTAAACTCCTACCAGACTACATAGCACTACAACCCAGAAAACAGCCATCATCATCATGTTGTATCTGTAAAATCTTAAGACAATGGACAGTGTCCAGAATAATAATAATTTTGATTATCTTTATTGTTAGTTGGAAAGTACATCTTTAAGTAACTGTTATATACTACAGACATATTACACAAGCGACTTACCACGTTATAAGAAGTTACTGCATTTTATCAAAAATTAAAATAATAAACACATTTGAAAGTCCCCAGAAAAGAGTGAATTAAAGAGACACTCATATGTCACCATTTGTGATTTTGAGAGATGGTAATGGACCTCATGAAGACAATAATTTTAAAATAGAATTTGAGCACTCCAGAAAAATAGAAATATCCTACATTGTACACTTAGTATGTGTTAAATATTGACTATTTGGTATGGTTATAGATTCTTGTTGCAGTCTCATATTGCAGTTGACTCTCCCATAATACAGTAAACACAATCAGAAAATCTGCACTGTATTGGCCAACAGTTAAGCTGTCTATCCAGTCCATGAAATATAACTCATTGCCATTAGTTTTGGTATTAGAAAATAAATAATATTTCTAGAGACTGTGTTACAAGAGAGTCAATTGCACTGTGGCTGTAAAATGGAAAAGTATGAATAAGATTAAGTGTACCTCTGAGATATACTATCAGAACTCCATTTACAAAATGGAAGTGACTCCACAGGTATACAGAGGAGTTCAGTGGTAAATGTTGAAAAATGGTGTTAAAAATATTAGCAAAAAAGTACTTTCTTTTATATTACTGTTTTAAAGAAATTAGTTATGAACTGTTTTAGAAGTCATTTGAAGGCTAGTGCTTTTGTAAAGTTACAAATATCATTGCAAAACCTTATAAACTGCTCATATTTAAAAATATTCGCAATTCTCATAAATATATATTACAGAAACACTAAATTGCTCATATAAATGTTGTTGGCTGATACAAGGCACATAACTACCTGATTAGCTCAAATCTTTTTGCATATGAATGCTCTACACATGCATATGTACTACTGAATATGGTTATACATGTTGTACAAGATTCAATCTGAAATATAACTGACCTTGAATTATCTGGCTTTGAACTATCAGTAATTCCACTGACATCAGTGTGAAGCATAAGCTTCACATAATGGGGTTATACCACTACTGCCAAATAAGAATACATTAAGTTTTTACAGATTCAAGATAAAACTGAAACAAACATTAGAGAAAATGATGAGGTCAGTTACTTAAAATTATGTCTTGGAGAAAATGGTAGTCACATATGACAAATCTGAACCAAAACTGTGAGCATGCGAGGTTTATACAGATGATTAAGGGAACAGTTTATAACACCCAAATCAAATCAGTTATACACAATATCGATACTTCCATGTGCCCAAATAAAGATATGACACATTTCTTTCCATTTATGGTTTGTTATTCCTCCAATGTGCACGATAATCAAGTATTAGCTGTGTGTCTAGATAAGGTATGGTTCATATATGTATATCTAATAAAAAGTTATTTCTTTGTGTATGATGTGCCAAAAATTGCTCTTATCCTCTTGCTCATTTGTAAGAAATTTGGTATTAGAGAAAGACAAAACTGAAGAACCATCAGCAAATATGGAGCCACTGGACTGTGTTTAATATAATTTCCAGCACCATGCACTGCTGCTGAATAATATTTGTCACTGAACTGTATGAAATTAGAATACAAATAAAGACCATAAACAAAGGTATCAATTTTTAACATGTAACTTACCCAAGTAGGTCCTGTATCATTATGGCATGACCACCCTCATGTTGCAGATGGAGGATGACCTGGCCTCCAGATATGGAGGTTACCCAAAAATGTATTGAATAAATGGTCACAGACACAATAAGAGGTGTTACTCCAACTTGGGGGCTGGGCAAGGGCTAACAACCTCTTAAAAAATTAACATATTATAAAATAATATACAAGACCTCAGTCCGATGGATTTTTTGTGATTTGAGGAACAGCAAAAGGACATGAAATTTGGAATTCAAAATGTCAGGAGTCCCTGTAGCATGTGTTGATTTATATCAGTAACAAAAAAATTGACGAAGTATATAATTTAGGCTTAACAAAGTACAGGTCAGATGGGACAAAAGTAGCACTGTACCAGTTGACAATTATATTAAATATTAATTGCATTTTAATACTTTTCAAACTTTACACTTTTTCAAAGACAGAGGATCACTTGGACACACACTGATGTAGACACCCACTTGAATGGCCTGGCATGTAGCATGCATGTGGGAAATAAGAAATGCATACAAGATCATCTCATGGGAGGAGACTATTTGGGACACCTAGGACAATATTAAAATGGATCTTAATGTGAGAATGTTGACTACATTCAACTGCTTCAGGACAGAATCAAGTAGAGGTCTCCTGTAAACACAGAGATGAATTATCAGGTTACATAAGAGGCACAGAAGTTGGCCACCTGAATGACTATCAGTTTTTCAAGGATGACTGTCTTCCATGGAATTTGTCACATCTTGTACAAATTTTTATTTGTATATTCAAGAGATGCAAGTACATCCACTACCATTTACATTATACCACATCCTGCAATAGTTTCCATACTATATATACATTTAAAATATTACATCATAAAAATATTGCTTTAAAAATACTTATTTTGATGGAAAAGTTCAGACAAGGCCACAAACCCAATTTTACAAGGGAGAAAATTAGTAACATATTTATCACAGTATTACTTCCTTCTTGGTATGCAAATAAATAATGGTACAGTATCTTACAACCTATGCTAGAGCTGCAAGATCTTACTGAATTATATATAGCATGTATTTATAATAAACAAGATACTCCTATAACTTGCTGAAAAATTATGTATTATGCCCGAGACCAGTTTAATCATGTTCCTGGGGTAACATGGATTAAAGATACTTCCATCAAGCTGGGGAATGTCAATATAGGTCTTATTAAAAATCCACAGTAAATGAAACATTAACAGCAGAAGGAAAACTTACCACCTAAAAAAATTCCAAAAATATTTATAATGAACCACAAAATATTGTGTGTACATTATCATCTAAATCAAAGGTTTCTAAAGTGATCAGTGGATCAATCAGCATATTTTATCAGAGAAAATTGTTCACTATTGAAAGTATCTAATACCTTCTTATCTAAATTAATGACTAGTTCTGCAGGTTTTAAATATTGTGACTAGTGATTCAATACGACAGGTGATACGAGATTACCATTCACTCTTAATGCAGTTTCTGTACACTCATGCATATTTACAACATACAGATTTAATGCAATCTACTCCTACTATAACAGCTGATATCTCACAGTCTTGATCTTGACTGTACAAGTGTACTGTTTGTGCGATGTGGAATGAAATGAAATTAAGTTCTGACAGTGGTGACTCTGGTAGCAAGAAGTCAGATGAGGCTATGGTGGGGTCTGTTGGAGTCTGCATTTGGTTTCAGGTGCCATAAAGATGTCTTCACATTTAATTTAGTTTACACAGATATTTTATATATTCTGTAATTTAGCTAACTGCAAAGAAAATTCTGCAGGAAATTGTATTGTTCAACACACTAATGTTCATTCCTATCAGTTGTGATAGGTCATACTATGCTAGTTATCAAAAAATTAACAGAATAGCTTGTAAATGATATTCATTTGGTATTATATTTTGCACCATTTTAAAAATACTAAAAGACAAAGAAAAGAATTCATCTTAGTTTTAGATGCACAACTTCATCTGCACAGACATTCAATCCTGAAGATGGAATACATTTTCAAAACTAATTACATGCCCAAAAGAGATAATTTTCTTGGTA